AGTAAAAGTACATAACAGACGGAGACAAGTGTAAAAGTTGTAACGAAGTGTGAACAGTTTAAGCTGCTTGTCTGTTAACTAGCAAGTAGTTTGCTACACACGTAGTTAACAGAGCCACGTGTGAAAGGGAGGAAGAATATACACAACAAAAACATGGCATGAAAATGACGCTACTCTGACAAATGTATTTTTATTGGCTGTAACTGAAAGGAGAATAGTAGAGTTTTGTTAGCATTAGGATGCTATGCGGCCTATTATTGCAATAACAAGTACAAAGTGTTGATTTAGCCCGCCAGTGTTATCAGTAGCAGTCGCTAAGCTAATTATGAGCTACTGACAGACAGGTTATGACATGTAGAAGCAGGTGACTGCGTTAGCTATTCATTCTGGTTGTTGTATAGACTGTAGTGCTTTTCAAAAAAGATGAAAACATGGTATGTAGCCAGGCCTAAGCTAATAGACAGATGCTCCGGTGTAATAATAATAAGTGAGGCGGCTGTAATCTGCTCAGTTAGCGGCTAACGGACAGCGCAGACCGTTGTGTTTTTTTTTTTTTTAAAAAACTCACCTAAGACGAAGAAGGGGAGCTCGGTGTTTTCCAGGTCGTCCACCACCACGACGTCCCCGGGAAAATCGTTTCTCACGGAGAACAGCAGCTTGGGCTCCGAGGCCGACGGACTGTGCATGATGCTCAGGTCGTTTTCCCTCAAAAACGGCAGCGCCGACACGGTGACGCTCTTCATCTTGCACTCGGTGTCCTGGCTCTGGTCCTCGTCGCCGTTCAGACCGCGGACGTTAGCCGTTAAGACGGCCAGAAGGACCCACGCGAGCCCCGGCAGCAGCAGCAGCAGCGGCGGCAGCGGTCTCGGCCCCATGTTGATGCTCGCCATCTCTCCGTCGCTCCGTTTCCTCTCGCCTCCTCTGCCGTTTCTCTGTCAGCCTGCTTCAGTCTCTCAGCCCGGCGGAGGAGAGAGCAGCAGCAGAGTGTGTGAGAGCGGTGTGATACACCGTCGGGCTCTCACAGTGTCGGAAACAAACGCCCCCTGTTTCTCACATACCATCAAACACTGGATATTTGTACATACAGCACGGAGCTCTGAATGTATGGCTGCTGAGTGTTGTAATGCCACTGACCCCTTTACTGTAATTGATTGATAAACTGTCCAAATGGCTCTGTAATGGCATAGATTACCAACAGGACGTGCACCCAGAATGCCCTGGGGCTCCCATCAACAAAAGCATCATCATTTGTAATTTAATTGTACATTTGCCCCCTCATGAAAATTTGCATATCATCTAACACCACTGAGCATCTTTAGTAGTTTCCCTGACCTCTGTGATGAGGTAGACACTGCTAGATGCATGCATAATTGTCTAACTGATGGTCTGGATGCACAAGTTGAATTCAAACACTCACCACCAGCGTCTGTGTTGCCAACATCGCGGATATAAAAGGGCAAAAGATGCTGTTTGGAAGTGGGAAACTTTAAAGTGGATGTTGTTGGCAAGAGGCCAGGCAAAATAGTTTAGAGTTTATCCGCTCAGATGGGTTGAGCAAGACAACAGAACGCTTTCAAACAACACTATAACAAACAAAACATGAATCTGATGATGCACACTGTCACTGATTGAGCAGATGACCCAATTAACACAATAAAAAAATATTAAAAAAAAAAAAAAAACAATTCAATAACCTTGTTGGACACAAATAAAACTACAGAACACAAACACGGTGACACTGAAACACTATAATAAAATTTATGAATGAAAAAATGGTCAGTGGAAACATTGGCTAATTATATGAGGCCATCTCTCACAATTAACTAACAAGAGCAACACACCCATCAAGAGAGTGAGGGACATGTCAGTCAAACTCAGTCTACACATGCTCACACGGTCCTGAGAGAAGGTCTAATCAAGCAACATAATGGAAATCACCTGTGTGGGTTTGCTCTAGTTGTCCAGGGTCTTTAGGAGCAGTCATGAAAATGTGTAACTGTCTTAGCTCTAGTTTGTGTGGAAATGTAAGCAATACGTTTTGCTGACAACTTAGTTTACCCCACACACACACACACACACACACACACACACACACTTTCTTCTATTTTAAATGTAGTTCAATTCTGTTGTGTTTCTTGTTTATTTATCTTCTCTCTCCCAGTGTAAAGAGTCTGTTGGTTCTTGGAACATCTCCCCTGCCACTTTAATGCATGAGAAAAAAAATATATGTATATTCGAGCTGAATATAGGCGACGTATTTCAAGAGACCACTCTATTTAAATAATGGTCAAATGGAAAAAA